ATGAATAGCAACAAGAATAAGTAGTAACCCCAGTCTTCAGCTGTCCTCACTTCCATGTCAGGTTATGATGCCTTCTTTCCTAAGTCGAGGCCAAAAGAAATGTCTTTTCTGATCTTCCAGGGGATGTAGGATACGAAAAGCTCACTAGTAAAAGGAACCAGACCCTTGTCATCTGACACTAATGAGGGTACCCTTCCCTTGGCTTAAAGGGATCTGGAGAAGGACAAGCAGATAACCTTCAGTCTAAATAAGTAATATCATCACTACTCTGGAATCTCTCCGAAGCATGTCAGTTATAGTGTGGCACGTGTCCATCTTGGACTTCATCCAAAGGAGTAAGTTGTCAGAAGGACCTCATCATGGCACAGGCCTCAGGGACAGTGTTAATCAGCAGGCTTCAGGGTAGCTGGTAAGATTCTGGTGCTAGCTGGTTAATCACTTCATGCTTATTGGTACAGTCAATCCTCAGTTACATAAGAATCAATGATCCAGTTTGTCACTCATCCATTCCTCCTTCCTTTATTGTCCAGTTGAGCTTCTAGATTGTCTGTAAGGGCAACTCTAGGTGTCTGACAAAATAAATGCCTCTTGTTTGAAATGCTTAATCCAAAGGATTTTCTCATGATATGTTGTTTTTTTTTTTTTATTACCAGTACCTCTGCTCCATAGCATACAAATAAACAAACAAACAAAACAAAACAAAAAAGCCCAGCTGCCATAGAGTCAACTCTGATTCATGCTGACCTCATGTGTGTCAGAGTAGAACAGTGCTCCATAGGGTTTTCAATGGCTGTAATCTTTTGGAAGTAGATTGCCCGGGCTTTCTTGCCAGACACCTCTGGGTATACTCGAACCTCCGATCTTCTGGTTAGTAGCCAAGAGCATTAACCATTTGCATCACCCAGGGACTCCTGCTCTATGTCATGCTCTTGGCTAACTGAAGTTGGTGAAGGCATGAGGATTCTTCTAATTGACTTGATCCTCTCGTAAGAGTCAGACTCCAAGATGGTGTCCCACCTGGCCAGGCTCAGGTAGTATAAGGCATTAGGAATCTGCCTCGAAGCTCTCGCTGGCTTTAGACTGAAAAACATCTTGGCTTCATCCACTAATGTAAGCAATTTAATGACAGCTTGAAAAGAGAGGAGCTTAAACAGAAAGAAGAGATGAGCATGGAGCAGGAATTTGGACTCCAGAAGAACTGCCTGAGCACAAATTATTTTTCTGTGGTATTTGATGAGAACGAACGATGTAAGAATTTTCCTTTTGTTCGTCTGGCCTTTGGCATTGTTTACTTTCTTTTTATGATTCTGAACGGCACTTAGGGCTCTGGCAGCGTTTCTCTCCTAAAATCTTATTATCAGAGGTTTATTTTTCAGCTGTTTCAAATCATAGCTGATAGCGTGAGTGCTTTTCCTGGGCCCATCACTTTACCTCAGATGAAATAAAGTTCACCCTTTAAATGACAATATTGATTGTCCACAGCTTTAAGTTCTGTACACTTAAGTTACAGACTCCATTTAAAAATCTGTGTTCTCTCATCAGAAAAAAAACTATGGTGGACCTTCCCACTCTGCTGGCATCTGGGTAATGACCTAACATTCATATTTTGGACGATGGCTGCATTATGTCAGATTTTCACTACGTATAGAGCAATTCCTCATCAATGGTGGTTTTGTCAACTGTGGTTCTGAGGCAACAAAGTTTTATACTTGTACTTGATATCTTTTAAATATACAAGCTTTTAACATATGCAGAACTTAATTCAGTTCCGTTTAAAAGGTAACCCAATTTGCTGGTATTCCTGCCCCTGTGTCAGTGGATCTGTGGGGTGGTATAGACATGGATTTAAGTGCTGCCCTTTGAAACATGGGCAGAATATTAGCACAGAAAAATGAGCTGTCCAACCTCGTGATGATTTGTGAAAAGCTCAGATAATTAGCAGGCATTTTCCCGAAACCTGTGAAAAGTCAATGCGTGAGAGAGTGTAGCATAACGGTTTCTAGGCCACATGTTAGAGCTGGACAGCCTAGGTTGAATCCCAGCTGCTCAGTTTTATTGGGTTGAATGGCGGCCCCCTAAAAGATATGTTTAAGTCCTAATTCCTGTAACCCGTGAATGTAACCTTAATTAGAGAAAGTGTCTTTGTGGGTGTAATTATTTAAGGATCTCTGAGATGAGATCAGTTTGGATTATCCAGTGGACCCTAAATCCAATGACAAATGTCCTCATAAGAGACAGAAGAGGAGAAGACAGAGATACAGAGGAGGAGAAGGCCATGTGGAGACAGAGGCAGAGGTTGGAGTAATGCAGCCACAAGCCAAGGAATGCCTGGAGCTACTAGGAGTTGAAAGCGGCAAAGAACAGATTCTCTGTAGTGCCTCAGAGGGAGCACAGCCCTGCCAATACCTTGATTTCAGACTTCTGGACTTTTCAGAACTGTGAGAGGATAAATTTCTATTGTTTCAAGTCATCAAGTTTGTGGTGATTTGTTACAGCAAATGAGTGACCTTGGGCAAGTTATTTAAACTCCATGAATCAGTCTCCTCAAAGTAAAACCCTCCTGCTAGGCTTTCTGAGAGGATAAGATGCCTTAATATAGGTGGCCAAGTTAGAGCTATGCATGATATTCAGAGTATGCTGTGTAAGTGTTTTTTTCTACCACGGCAGCAGGCAAATGCAACAGAGCTTAGCTGTCAACTCAGTAAGTTCTGGTTAAGAGAGCCACAGCCTGGAAAACAGAAACCTTCTGGGAGAATCTGCCTCAATGATCTCAGCACTTCAGCAATGTTTCCCAAACAGCAGCAGAATATGAAGCAGGAGCCAGGATCTGTGCAAGAGTTGTGATTTAAATGCCTCTAAATCTGACTGGTTTTGGAAAAGTGTGACTTCAGGCGTTTTATGTGCTGGAGCTTTAAAGTATACATACGAAAAGCCACTTGTATGTTTTCTCTGAAGCCGTGCTGTCCATCAGCCTTGATAACCAAGAGAGTGAGGGACTGCTGCATGTTTGCTTGCGAGATGGCAACTGCAGTAGGTCTGTATGGAGGCGCTTTTTCTGGGGACAGGCAGGGATTGGTGCCTAGGAGGCTGCACTTCTTGGCCTCAAATACCCTTCCTACTCTCAGGATCAATGGTTCTATTTTCCTGTGAATCCCTGAAAGACACAATTCTAAAACAGGAATTTCCTCTAAGAAGAAATCATAGATGTCTTAGTAAAGACTCAGAAAGTTTCAGACTCATTTTACACACGAGGAAAAGGAGGCTCAGGCAGGCACAGCAGCTGACGCATATGTGGTAAGGAGTTGGTGGTAGAGCCAGCTCCCTCTCAGTTTCCTCACTCTAGGGATGGTTGTCCTGGTAAGTAGACCTGGGTATGGAAGACGTGAGGGGCCAGAGCAAGCAGCAGGACTTGTGCACTTACTAGAGCCGGCCCTATGACTTAGTTTGAGCATTGCTGAGACCTGAATTTGGTTCTCTTACAGAGTCGGTCAACTCTTACTTAGCTTGGCCAGCATCTTCCTGACTTACTAGGGCCATCCAGACACAGAGCACACGTGAATGAGCATGTGAAATTCAACACCGGCCTTATGTCTCCGAACCTGTTTCCCAAAGCAACAATAATGATTTCCTTGCAGAAGAGTTAGAGAAATTATTCTCGTGTAGATCAAAGGGCCTGAAATATACTAGGTATTGGATATGCATGAGCTATTGTTACTTTTATTACTACTACTATGACTACTCACTATGGCTTTGCTTTGATCAGTCAAACTCACCAATGTAAAATGAAGATAATAATAATCTACCAGAAGAGAAGTTATGACCATGGATTTAGAAACCAAACTGCCTGGGTTCAAATCCCAGCTCTGTACAAGTTGTGTGACCTTAGATGTGTTATGTAATTTCCCTGTGCCTCATTTTCCTCATCTATAAAATCAGGATAACAACAGTATGTGCCTTGTAGGGTTGCTGTGAGAATTAAGTGAATTAATACCTATACAGCCCTTAGAACAGTGCTTGGCACATGGTATATGATCAATTAAGTGTTAGTCACTATATTACTTTTACTTTCCCCATAGGACAATAAAAAGATGCATTGCATCGGGCAAATCTGCTGCAAAAGACCTCTTTAAAGTGTTGAAAAACAACGATGTCTCCTTGAAGACTAAGGTGAGCCTGACCCAAGTCATGGTGTTTTCAATCACCTCATATGCATGTGAAAGCTGGAGGATGAATAAGGAAGACCGAAGAATTGATGCCTTTGAATTGTGGTCTTGATGAAGAATATTGACTATACCATGGACTGCCAAAAGAATGAACAAATCTGTCTTGGAAGATGTATGACCAGAATGCTCCTTAGAAGCAAGGATGGCAAGACTACGTCTCACATACTTTGGACATGTTATCAGGAGGGATCAGTCCCTGGAGAAGGACATCATGCTTGGTAAAGTATAGGGTCAGCGAAGAAGGCGAAGACCCTCAATGAGATGGATTGACACAGTTGCTGCAACAATGGGCTGAAGCATAACAGCAATTGTGAGGATGGCACAGAACCGGGCAGTGTTTGGTTCTGTTGTACATAGGGTTGCTACGAGTTGGAATCAACTCGACAGCACCTGACCACAACAACTGACCCCACAGGACAGTGGTGAGAATCAAATGGGGTAATGTATATAGAAGCATGTAGTGTATTCAATTGTGAATTATCACCATTGTCATCATCATTAAATGACTGGGGCCTCTCCCATGCCAGGGTCTGCTCTTGTGTTTGCTAAATATTGTTGTTGTAAGCTGTTGTAACCGACCCCCAACTCATGATGACCCCATATACAACAGGATTAGACTGTTGTGATCCATAGGGTATTCACTGGCTGATTTTCAGAAGTTGATAACCAGGTCTTTTGTCCTAGTCTGTCTTAGTCTGGAAGCTCCACTGAAACCTATTTAGCATCATAGCAACACACAAGCTTCCACTGACAGATAGGTGATGACTGCACCTGAGGTGCATTGGCAGGGAATCGAACCCAAGTCTTCCGCATGGGAGGCGAAAACTCTACCACTGAACCACCACTGCCCCCTATTTGCTAAGTAACTAATGTTTATTGAGCATATAGATTGTACTAGGCACTATACAAATGGTGTGTACTTGGAACATCACTGAGCTGGAAGCCAGGTAAACCATTTAAAGTAAAACTAGTACTCTAGAGTGACACGTCCGTGGGACACACCAAGTGGAATAGTTGTTCAGTCCCCAGAGTTTCCCTTTTCTGGGAATGGATCTATTGCACAGAGTTTGTGCTCCAGTGGCCACATCTGTATAAAGTGGCATTGCTCTCTGGCCATAGTTGCTCAGCTTTGTGGTGAGCCCCAACCCAACCCCCAGAGTTTTTGAAACCAGAAAAATAGAATCAGTCCATGTCTGGTGGCAGAGTTGTGCAATTTGAGGTGACAATCTTTAGCATCCAAGTTTCCTGCCAATCTGCAATCAGAGAGAATGAAACTGATGTGCAGAAAATACCAGAGAAAGCACATGCGGAGGGTCCAAGCAGCACTGAAACCATGGGACTCAGTTGTATCCCAGACCTTCCTAAGGCTGTGAGAGAGCCCATATATTTCCAAGTCATCCCTTGTTTTGCCAAAGTACTTTGAACGCTATTTCTGTTACTTGCAACCAAGAGAGTCCTCTTCTGTCTTCCGGATCCAGCCTAAGCATCTTTTGGTCTGCAAAAACTTTCCCCACTTCCTCCCCCATAAGCCAGCCAACTTATACCTGCCTCCCTGTGCATCTCTGATCTCTTCTTGAGGGCAGCTTCTCATTTGGCCCAAATTTCTATCACCTGACACAGTGCTGGGACCCAATAATAGTTCGGCTTTACTTTTAAATGACGTGAATGATGTAGAGGACATGCAATTTTCAGATGGTTGGTAAGACCGATTACCTCTAAGATCTTTTCCAAACTGGAGATTCTGTGTTGTGATCCTAGGTTATTTGAAAAGAGATATTCTGAAGGAGCTCAGAAGATAGTTCCAGAACTCCAGAGGTTGATAGTCTCAGCTTCATGTTATTCAAATTTTACTTCCCAATCTACATCTTTCCTCTTCCTTTACACGGGTGTGTCTCTAGCACCACTCTTATGCTTTGGAGTCATGAATTATTAGGATCACTCTCAGGTCCACAAATGGAGTATGGAGGGATAAAGGAGGGAAACAGTTTGCAAATGAGAGATAACCTTGTGAAGCACTAAGAGGAAACTCAGACATGAGGTACACATATGAAAGAGAAATTTCCAGAAGGAGAAGTGAACTGAGTTATAAGCTGAGAAAGTCAGAGGAAGAAGGGTCAGTGCCTGCAGATGTATTGTCTTGTCAGTCCACTCTGTGAAATAACTAAATTGACGGAAGTTATGAGATGCTAAAATTCTCTGTTCCTGGTGACCTGAAAAATTACTTTTGCTTCCCAAAGTGCTTAGCTTGATTCCAGGGAAAACTCTTGGTAGGGGAGCATCTGGGTGATTATTACAACAGGCAAAGAATAACATGGCAGCAAAGGGGCATAGGTGACTGTCTTAGTCTGGGTTCTCTAGAGGAGCAAGACAAATAAAGTATATATACATATACATATATATATATATATATATAAATTTACTTCAGGGAAATGACCCATGCGATTCTGGGGACTAGCAAGTCCCAAATCAATGGATCAGGTGATAGGCTGAAGATGTCTCCTGACTCAAGCGGTTGTGGGGACTGGTGAACCCAAAATCTGCAGGTCAGGTGGCAGGCCAGAGACTTCTGCAAGCTTATGTCCTAAGAACCTGGAGGTAAGGAGAAGAGTGCAGGGTCAGGAGACAGTGAGCTTTGACAGAACACCCATTTATATACTGGAGGCAGGCCCCATCCCCAAAGAAACTCTCTTTTCAACTGATTGGCTGCTCACATCAGATCACAAAATGGGAGGTAATTACATAGTGTCTGCCAAATCACAGAGAATCATAGCCTAGCCAAGTTGACACATAACATTAACCCTCACAGTGACATATTTTTACGCAAATAAGTCACGCCTTCTGCATTTGTTTGCCAGCCACGCACAGCCCCTCTCCCCCGCCGCAAGGTGTTTTCATAAGTGTGCTGTGCTAATTTTTTTAACTGCAACATGTGGAAGAGGATTGGCATGGCAGCACTTGTGAGGGTGCCTCGTGGGGGAAGGACGTGGCCAGCAAACAAACGCAGAAGGCGCTCGTTATTTGTGTAAAAATACGGTAAGTCTATTTGCCTTCATGGAGAGAGAGAAGGAACTTTGGATGATTTCTTTGAAGTGCATCTAGAAGCTTCCAACGATTATTTAGTGGCATCTGGTCTTTAATCCAGGACATCAAACTTGTTAATTTTTATCCTTGGACTGTTTCTCAGCTTTCCATGGAACTCTTCCTTTGGGACAAGCAGGGAAAGAAATATTTTATTTTTATTTCTTCCTATTTTGCCTTCCCATCCTAGTTATAGCCTTGGGAAGAGAAAGTTTACTTGTCTGACTATGCTCTGAAAGACAAAAAGTGCTGGCCTTGTGATCTTTGGCGCAGCTCCCTACAGGTCAGATGCGTTTTTTCTTCACCTTCTAGCAGACAGTGAAAAACAAAGGAGCCTGAGTCTTGTAGCCATTTAACGTCTTTGTCCACTGTAGTAGTTTGTGCTATATACCATGGATACTCAGAAATGACAAGCGGACCCAGGCAGCCTGCATGGCTATCTACGCGGAAAGGAGAATAAGAGGTTTTTGTATCTGCCTTGGTAATGGTGGTGGGGCGGTGGGATGACTTGTCCCATTGTATTTTTGTTTGGGGACCCAGTATTCACAGTAGTGAGGAGCTTGGACTTTGAGGTCTAACTGCCTGTATTTGAATTCCAGCTGTGTTCATTCCTAGGCAAGTGCTTTGGCAAATTATATAACCTCTCTGACTCAGTCACCTAGTCTATAAAATGGGATAATAATAGCATCTACCTCACTGAGGCATTGCAAGGATTAAGTGAGATAATTCATGTAAAGCACTTTTCTCAGTATCTGACATTTAGTAAGCTCCAGTAACATTAGTCATTATTATCATTTAATACAATAATAGTATTTCTAGTAATAAAGTGAGAAAGTAATGTTACAGGCCCTTCCTTGAGTTCATCCCACTCCAAATAATTTGGTGTTGCCATACGTGGCAGCATGAAGGTCAGAAGTGGTCATTTCCAGACTGATGAGTTCCTTAGTGACTTTTTCTCAGTTGGGGCAAGCTCCATTTGGTTGTTCTTCCAGTTTGCAGTGGTCATTTCAAATCGGCCATGAGTTGGGGGAACATTGCTCTATGGTAAGCCCAGTGTCACCCTGACAAATCTTTTCCAGTTCTACAGGCCCTAGGTGGTGGGTGGGATGATTGATGCTGGCTTCCCTGGCAAACGCTTGCTGAGCATTACAGACACTCACTCCTCAGAGTTGCAGATACAAACCTGGTCATCAGAAAGAAGGCAGTGATAACTGAACTGCCCTTCTAGGCAAAATGGCTGCTCTCTCATTTAAAGAAGTTAGGAGGAGGATGTTTTTCTTTGCAACCACTATTTATTGTGTGAGATTTCAGAAGATGACCATAAGAAAACACGTTTATAGAGACACCATGAGATTGTGAAAATAAAATGAAGTAATATCTGGGAAAGATATACCAGAGAGAATTGAACTCAAAAAGACTAACTTTGCAGTCCATACTCAGCCAAAATTCCCATTGAATTAAATCACAAGCTGCATAATAATGTATACAAAATGCCTTTAAAGTTCTTCTATAAATTTGGAGAAAAAAGAATAGCCTGCTTAGAGCTACTAAGGCAAAATTCTTTACTGTGGATTTATAGGCACTAATACAAGCGGTCCCCAAATACCTCTTTTTTTTTTTTAATTATAAATAAGAAGGAACAGATTCTACCCTCACAACTTCCACTGCATGACAGCCTCCAGGCACAAAGGGCAGAGTTTATGGAAAAAGGGAACGCTGAATTCCAAGCCTCTGATAGTGAAGTTGTAGTCTGACTGAACATTGATTACATTTTAAATCCACCATACTTTTCCTTTGAAAACCACATATTACTTAACATCTCGAATGCTTTGCATTGAAGTTGTTGAAAAAGTCTCCGAGTATTTTCAGGCCTTTATCATGATGTTATTTATTTCTTACTTTATTATTTCAAACAAGTGAGAGAATCAAGTTAAACGAGTGAAAATATGTAAGTTATCTAGTTAATTTAGAAATTCTAGGGAGTTCTAGCTTTCTCTTGGTGCTTGCCATCATTTCTGTGTGTTGAAATCAGCAATTTCTACAGAGGCAGACTTGGGGTATGTTGAAAGTGGCAATATCTTTTTGGTCCTTGCTGTATGAGAGCTGTCACTGCTGCTGTGACCCACAGTTGAGCACTGACTCAGGGACATGGCTGGCAAGGAGAAGGAATTGGCTGTGAAGAGGCACTGTTAAATAGCTGGACCCACAAACAAACATACAATGGGCCAAGCGATCCCACCCCCACCACCTACCATTACCAAGGCACATAGGAAAGCCCCTTACTTTCCCTTCCATGGAGATAACCATGTAGGCTCCCTGGGTTTGCTTGTCGTTTCTGAGTATTTCTTCATTTCAGCTCTTAATGCTACTGAGCTCTGATTTCATGATGTGGAAATGTATGGGATGAAGGAGGACTAGGGAGATTTGCCCTCGATCCTGCACTCCCATGAGAGATCGACTGGTTTACATATAAATTAGCTATCAACTAAATTGTGACCTTATATAAGAGTTATATAAAGGTACCTGTACTTATTTCCTAGGGTTTTCATAAAGAATTACCACAAAGTAGGTAGCTTAAAACAACAGAAATGTATTGTCTCACAGTTCTGGAGGCTAGAAGTTGAAATTCAGGGTGTGGGCAGGGCCATGCTGTCTCTGAAAGCTCTAGGTGAAGATTTTTTTCTTGTTTCTCCCAGCTTCTGGGAGCCCTGGACATTCCATGGCTTGTGGCAATACAACTTCAATTTCTGCCTCATTTTCACATGGCTGT